AATATCTGCTGTTGTCAATGGAAGCTCTGTGGGATTAAAGTTACAGAAATACCCTCTTATTTTATTCAGAATGACTCATTACACTTATCAACTGCAGTACTACATTTTTCTTCAAGTTCTTCAAAAAAACACTAACTTCACAAATTCACAACCACATATTTCTTTGGGAACTAAAAATATCAGTTATAGAAGCAGCTGCATGTAAACACTGTGCTTGCAATTCATATTACTAAGTTACTTCAATGCTCTGTTTTCCTACAGGCTGTCCAGACACTGCCACATTACATTTAAGGTGTCAGTTTGTATTCTGAAAATGTTAAAACATTCTCAAAGTAAAATTTCTCAATATAAGGTAAATCCCTAGAGCATGACCACCCTTGATAGCTGGGATTCTTGGCCTGATGGAGCCCTGGACTCAAAGGAACCATCTATTGCACCCAACCCTTCTGCTACACAACAGCAGGCCTGAGGCCTCTCAATACCAGCAATAGCATTAGAGTGTGCCATGCAGTACTCATCTATCTAACTGCCAATATTTCACAGGAATGCAGGAAGAAAGCAGGTAAAAAACCACAAACCCAAGATAAAACTTGAAGTTGTGCATCTTGAAAGGAAAAGGTTTCTCCTGTCTGTGGATATCTTGGCAGAATCACTGCAACTTTGGATTCATTAAGATAGTAGACTGAGCAATCAGCCAAACACTTTAGAATCCCCTCATGAAGACTTAGGTCAGACACCTGCCTCTTCTAAAAAAACTTGAGTTTTCAATGCCAAGACTATCCAACAACTTATTCCGTAAACTGCTCAGCATTACTGTAAACCGGTTTCCGGGTTCCTCTCCATCTCTTCTCATTGGTGAGCTTAATCCAGACCTTTCCTCTTTTGCTGGCTAGAATCTTTCTTCCAATTTCAGTTTTAATTAATTCATAATTAATAAGATGCTAGCATACATAGGTGTTACTCCTTAGCTTTTTCTGAAAAGATCAGTTAATCCTATCTGCCCTCCACCTTTGTTGTGCAAAACTGATTTATGGCACCTCAACATTACTGTTCTACCAACTTATGGCAATACATAACACAAAATTTCTTCAGTTGAACATGCAAAACATACTGCCCCCAGACAAGCACTTACTGCAGACCACCAAAGCTTACAGCACTAAGAAGATTATTAAAAAAAAAAAAAATAATAATAAAGGCCCCCGACCTTTATTTAATCTACGATTAGCATGTTGCCTGTGCTGGTTTTGGGTGCGATAGAGTTAATTTTCTTCACAGTAGCTAGTACAGTGGTGTCTTGAATATGTGCTGATAATAGTGTTGATAAGGCAGAGAAGTTTCATCATTGCTGAGCAGTGCTTGTACACCACCAAATCTTTTAATACTTCTCACAACACCCCAGCAGCAAGCAGGCTGAGGGTGCATAAGAGGTTGGAAGAGGACACAGCTGGGACAGCTGACCACAACTGATCAAAGATGATATTCTATACCATACAACATCATGCTCAGCAGAGAAAGCTGGGATAAAAAGGAGGAAGGGGGGACATTCAGAATTATCATGTTTGTCTCCCCAGATAACAGTTATGTGTGATGGAGTCATGCTTTCCTGGACATGGCTTAGCACCTGCCTGCTGATGGGAAGTAATGATTTAACTCCTTGTCTTGCTTTGCTTACGTATGTGGCTTTTGCTTTACCTACACAACTGACTTTATCTCAACCCATGGGTTTTGTCACTTTTACTCTTCTGAGTCTGTCTTCCATCCCACCACGAGAAAGTAAGTGAGCAGCTGGATGGTGCTTGGTTGCTGGCTGGGGTTAAACCATTATAGAGATACGTATGTATATGTATATATACCATGGGGTCAAACCATGGGGATAAGGATGTATAGGAATGGCTGGCTAAACCCTGTGCCACAGTTGAGTAGAGGATCACAGGGACAACTATTTATCTGTAACTGATAAGTTATTACCATCAGTTAGGTGTTCCAGAGTTAGTCACCCATGCTTACCCTGCTCTGTATCAGACGTCTGCAGCAAGTGATTGATGGTGAAAGCTGACCGGGTAGCTTTGCTTTTATGACTGATCTGGTTAAACAAACCAGAATGAGTTCAGCAAGAGAGAGGACATGGCACCTTCCCAAAAGACAGAGACTCTCAGTGAATCCAGTACTTGACTAAGTCTGGCACAGACACTTGAGCTAGGCAGAAGACTATGGAGGCACGAGGAGACACTGAAGTAATAATATAGATAGCAGAGTATTTTGTTGAGGAGTTGCAGAGTATTTTGTTTAACAGTTGTATTCACATTTTTAGTGCCCTGGATTGTCATATTTCTTCTTCTTCATCTAGATTAACCTTACACATTTTATTTGGCCTTTGCAGAGTTACTCACTGAAGAGTCATCATTTACTGTTCCTCTAGGTCAAGTCACTTGAAAAAACACGTCTGTCCACAAAAAAAAAGGCTTAATTTAGCTACAGGTTAGTTCCAGACACCTGAACTGTCTCCCAGAAAAAAAAAAAAAAAATTAAAAAATAAATTTTAAAAAAATGTTACTTTTGGAAGAAAAGGCAGTTTTGCAGTTCATAATGAGACTGGCAGGATTAATTTTCTGGTTAACCCATAAACACTTTTTGTACTTCAGATGTTACTTCTTACCTTGTGTAGTAGGTCTCTAGATACAGAATTGTAAAGCTAAATCCAGTACCATTTGTAAACTGTTCAAAAAGACCAGGAACTAAGTAAGCACACCAAAAATATATTAGCACAGGCATCATAACATGCTGGTCAAAATATTAACTGCAATGCTTCGCTGTCACCACCTCCAAAAATAACAAATGGGTATATTAATTGATGTGTTCCTCTCCTTGCATGCCAAAAGCAAAACAGTAAGCTTTTGCACTCAAGTGGTAAAACCACATGTATCTCACACTTGCCATTTCTTGGTCTAAATGCTCAAATCCTGGGACAGTCAAATAGATATTGGAGAAATAGCAGCTGTGTAAGAACAGAAAACAAATAGCTAGAAGGATAAATAGTGAGTGAAAGAATGCAATCAATATAATTTAGCTTAAGCAAGTAATATCAGATCATGCTAATCTGGTTTAGTAGCTAATACTTCAGTGTGACTTAGAGGCTATAATCTAGTAACGTACCTTAACGAAAGGAAGGCAGTATTTTATCAGATTGGAGCAAGAAGCACATTATTTTATAATGGTAAGATTATTTTGAAGTAAACACTTCCTTTACTGTGAAGCTGTGGTACTACAGTCAGCCCTTGAGCAAAGACCACTGCATGCCTGTGTACCTTAAAATTTCCCATTTCTACATATTTTTGTTGTTGGACAGGGAACCACATCACAGTATAACTTTGTGTACCTATGAAGCAAGTTCCCTGTGCAATTTCCCTTTAAACAATCTGTAATTCTCACTATTTCTTTTAATGAGCTTCTACTCTGCAATGAAGCTGAATTTAAGAAAAAAAAATAATAATACAAAAACAAACAAACAAACAAACAAATCAATAATAAGACCAGTAAGTTCTTTCAAAGATTTTCTGAATCTGGTGTTAGAAGAAAAATGTCCCATAAAAAGTGAGGAGCTAAAAGCCCTAGATTGAGCCTTTCAGCTCCCTAGCATCTAAGAGGAACTGCTATAATAAAAACATTTCCTGTAAGACAAGGTACAGTTAGTAAAGTCTAACTTTGTCATTAGATCTGCATTTACTTTAGCCTTTCTGATGAGATGGACATGTTCGCTGAGATTGCACACCTTCAACACCGCAACATCAGCAAATGCTTGTGTCATGAACACAGCCCTAGCATTTCCAAAGAGGCATTCCATCCTCTGCATGGGTAGAGGATATCATAGCATCAACATGCCTACTTGCTGGTTCTTTAAATTCAGGCCACCAAATTAGTCCACTTTAAAGATAACCAGTCCTTTGTAGTAACAAATAGTCAATATGAGTTTTGGGAAAATCCCACATAACTCTCAACCACAGCTGCTAACAGCAAATGATAGGATTTTCCACCTACCTCTGATCTTCAAAACCCTCTTAATAAACACACAATTCAACTCTTAGGTCAACAACGTTCCTTACCCAGAAACAAGATTATTCCAGGTAACAAGGGGCTACCTCACAATTTGACATCCCATTTTTTCCCTGTTCCCTAGCCACCCATTCTTACTGGTATCATTTTAGGGGAATCACATTTGTACTTCAAAAGCTTCTTATCTTTAATGTATTTGTTACCTGTGTAGTAGTAGTAGTAGTAGTAGTAGTAGTAGTAGTAGTAGTAGTAGTAGTAGTAGTAGTAGTAGTAGTAGTAGTAGTAGTAGTAGTAGTAGTAGTAGTAGTAGTAGTAGTAGTATAATAACAATAATAATAATAATAATAATAATACCCTCTTTGCTTAAAACACAAAAAACAGCTTACGAAGGCTTCATTTATCTCTCAAATCACCAGAGTTATTCAACTCCCTCATGTATTTTCAAAGGGCATTTCTGTAAAGCCTCATCATTACGATACTAGAACAGTGCTGGGAATGTACATGGGCTACTGAGATGTCTGTTTTGACACAGCATCTCAGTATGCCTCAATTCTCAGGTTTCCTCATGCCGTGTCAGATCTGATCAGTAAGAAGCAGTTTTACAGAATGTACTGATCATACAGCTTTTTGCTACAAACTAAATTTAATCTATTTTTAAATGCAAATGGCATGCAAACAAAGTTTTTCACTTGGGGATTTTAGCTGGCTAACAACTCATCAAGTAAAGCTCTGGGTAAAGTCCCTTCTGTGAAAGTCAGTAACCTGTAACTTCAGGGAGGAGTTGGATGGTTTGTTTCTAATGACTCTCTTTGAACAGACTAATTGTAAAAGGATTAAAAATAGATGCTTTCACATCCCATAAAACAGTAGGCAGCAAATCAAGACCAGCATACAAACAAGCCTGTGTTTTTTTTTAAGCACTCGAAAAAACCTACCCCTCCCACAAAAGAGACTCACGTAATCAGTCTTGAAAACAATGTGCAAGGGTAAACTTTCACAGTCAAGCCATCCTGCTAATGCCCTTAACTGCTCAGAGGATTCAAGAAGCTACAGACATGTAAGTACAGAAAAGCATTCATTTAGTTTTAAAAAAGTCACTGAAGAACAGCAAACAATTTCAGAAATATTATCTCTTTTTTTGCATTATACTGTATATTTTCATGTGGTAGGAAGGAAGAAGGATCTTTGGACGGGAGAGAAAAGGCTTGTGGAAGAAATTCAGTGATATTTTATGTTCACACATGAATATCTGCCAATTATTTTTTGTTCAAAGGATCTCCTGACCCACAGCATCAACAAGTTATTTCAAGTCCTTTCTTACAATACAGCCTTCTGACAGTCACAGGGAAACATTTGATACTACACCAGTTTAGACAATTTTGTTAGCAATAATAATTTAAACTCTACTAATGCAGATATAATTACTGTACAAGTAATAAGGGAAGCACTGCAGCTCTTAAGTAATTCACTGGACCTTGAATAACACTTAGTATAGCAGGAGAGAACCTTGAAAGAAATCTGTACTATGGTTGTGAATGAATAGCTTGCTCTATCACATGCCCTCCATGCCTATGTAACAGCCTTTATTATCAGCTTAAGAACGTCTGTCACTCTTCTCAAGTCTAAATATTGCAACAGAATATTTTAAGAATGCGAAGTTTTATGAGCTAATTCCTCTTTTACTTTCTGACATGCATTGCTTTTGATGTTTTTAGAATGAATTCTTTTTCTGAATAGCAATCACTTAACGTGTTTCTCCTTAGTACTGATCTTCATGCCACAAAGCTGAAGAAATAGTATAAGTGATACAACTTTTATACAACTTCTCGATTAAAAAGGATCAATTTTTCCTATTATACTGGTAAAACAAAACAGTCTGTTCCACAGACAATAACTCATTAACTCAATAACTCATTTACCTTGAAAAATAAAGCCAGTATGCAGAATACAAAAGGTCTGTCTTATATTTTCATAGCTTATCCTAAAGAGACAAGGGAATTGACACTTAACCTGGCAAGTAGTCTTTAAAGCTCCAATCTCATCCCTTTCTCTTTGAAAGGCTGAGCAGTATGTATATATGTAATTAATAATAAACTTGTGCTACAGTTCTGAAGCTGTGATTCCTAAAATTGAAGACTCTACATGTAGATTCCAGATCACCCGGAAAAAAACCTATACATTAAAGGTGTGCGTGTTTTCTAGCACTAAAATACAAAATTTTTTTTGACCCATTTTTTCTTCTGCTTGCAGGAATGTAATTGTCAGTGGCCAAGGTTTTTATTTATTTGCTGTATTTTAAACTCTCTCCTTTTTACATTCAGAATTCTAAGGCAAGGAAACTGAAGGGAGGTTAAACAACTCAGCACCAGCACAATTTTTCACATAAACACGCACCTTTGGCAGAGATGATTTATTCTTTATCATTCTCATACTCTTCGTAACACGGATCGCATTTGGAAAGAGAGATCCAACAGATAAGAGCAAAACATGCACACTTCAGATGACTTCCACTTTTTCTTTATCTAGTTATGCAGCATTGAAATTCAACTTCTGTATTTCTATTTTGCTTTCTGTAGCATTATTACTTTCCAGCGCCCAATGTAACTGTCATACAATTTTGCAAAGTAATTGATAAAAGCAGGACCATAAAGATCCCAGAGTGTGGAACTGCCAATTCTTTAAGCACTTAAAGAATATTATAATTCTTTATAGCATCATTAAGACAATTTCATTCATGAAAAGCTTACTTGGGATTCTCTGATGTGTGGCTTACAAATTTGGCTTAGTACTCCAACAAATCTGCATCTATACTGAGGGAGAAAAAAAAAAAGCACTAGCCTGGAAACTACCTCACCAAAATTAGCTGCGGATTGTGACCTGAGGATTCGGTCTTCAGGTCATTAGGCCCACTCATTGTCATTTAGGACAAAAAATCCAACATCTTTTGAAAAAAGGCAAATTAACATAATGTCCTAGGAGTATTAGAAAGAAACAGGAAGCTTTAGGACACGCCTGTCTCTTGCCTCAGCTTTCATTAAACCACATGTAGTTCCTAAACTACCAATACATACACCTAGATATAGGGACCTTAGGTATACGTTCTTTCTGTATTAACAAAGCATTCTACTATGCAACTTAGCATGCACACTTGTTAACATACATAACTAACTTAAATCAAGCCTTTTTCTCCAACACAGAAAACACTCTACAATGAAGGTCACTTGTCTGGTAAATTAGAAATTCAAACAGTAAATATGACCGGTCAACAGAAAACAATTAATTTTAGAGATTAAGGAAAAAAATAAACTTACATAAGCACAGCACTGCATATTTCCTATCTTCTCCTGCTCTTAAATTTTAAGACTTACACAGCTTATGTCTATAGAGGACTGTAAGGTCAGGCACTTCAGGGAAAGTCTCTCTCCTGATGACTCCTTTAAAATATGTTATACTCTATGCATTTATGAACAACATTATTCCCCAATACTGTTTGTCAAAGAAATATTGTTCACCTCAAAGTGACTAAACCATACTACTAAAGAGTCAGGAGAAACTTTTCTAACGATCTGCTGTGTCTTTTCTAGAAATTAATTAACATCCCTCTTAAATTAGCTACTGGAGAGATGGATCAGGGATTAATCTCCAAAAAAAATAAATAAATTATGGAGACAGGCAAACCACACATTAGATGACAATACATGGTTAAAGCCTTCTACCTGTGCCCTGTTCTGAAAAGAGAGATGGTGCTCCTTCAGCAAAAGCAGGAAATGAGAACAAGAAGAAAACTTATCTAAGGACACAGATGGCTTGCATATAAACCAAACCCATGTAATCTTCTAGGCTTACAACACTGCAATTGCTGGCTCCTAGCTTAAGTGAATGCTTGTTAATAGTCAAATGTATGTTACATGATGATATTACATATAAAGCTCATCACACATGAACCAGGGCTTTGGATTATGTAGTACTTCCAGACTGGAGCCATCATTCTGCTCATAAAACGTCTTTTGCAGTGAGGACTTACTACGAGCTGGGCTCTTGCATACTGCAACATAAATGTGAAACAAATAAATAGTGCCAGTAAATGCTTTCACAGAAACCTAATGTCCTAAAAAAACTTCCCTTCTTCTTGGATGAGATTACAAAATTGGTTCAGAAAGGCATCTGCACAGATTTCAGGCATGCCAGGCTAGGCATTGGAAGCAACTCAACATGTTAATGTGATTCTTTTTTTCCCCTCAAGTGGATACTACTTCTATCAAACATCAAGAAAGCACACAGAATAGATAAAAAGCTGGCTAGCTAACAAATCACATAAAGTAATTGGATAAAAAAAATCTTTTGTCATTGGTGGTCAGAATGCAAATCTAATAATTAAGACTGGGAAATGGCAAGCAAGAGAACAATAAAGAAGAAACTGCACTGGACATATTTAAATTAATTCTAACTCCCAGGTGTAAGATCCTCCCAGGTAGAAGCAGAGAGCAATGGCCATGCCCCTAGACCAGAGACATCCTAGGACACAGTCAATCCCAAAACCACTCTGTGATCACAGTGACCTAACATCACTAGCTCCCACTGCAATGCTACACAACTCTTATCTTGGATATCTGACTAACTGAGCAGAAAAAGCACGGAAATAGTGGTGAGTAAGAACTGGGGCTAGAACTGACATCAGAAGACAATTTTACCTTGTAGTGAGACACTTAACAAGTTCATCTTGAGCTGCCAAAACCATGAGATTATATAAAGGGGCAAGACTCATCAAAAGGTCAACTGCAAATTAATTTTAGAGAAATTCGAAGAAGTGACACATTTTTAACAGGGAGGTTAACTATTGTACAAATAGTTAACTCACTTTCTCTTCAGTTCTTCAAATCAAGACCAAACAGCATTTTGGAAAATACACTTTAAATGAAAAGTTAAGTGAAATCCATACACAAATAACTACAATAATACCTGGATTATACAAGTGGTCATATTAAATGAGTAAGTAGTCTCTTGTAATACAACTTTATGGGTCTGTGTTATTGAGCATTATGTCTGCAGAGTCAGGAAAAAGTAAAAACCTGCATGAACTTCTTTACAATACCAAGAAAATGACAGCAATTTAAAATACTTTATGCCTTAAAAGTTTGCCTGTACCTCTATGCCAAAAAACTGTGGCAATGCTTTCTAAAATTATTACACTGGTAAATCAACATTTGGTTTTTGTTTTTTTTTCCAAATATATACCTCAAAAAAGTATAATAAACTCAGAAGGTCACTGGGGAGAGTATCCAATCCAACAACCTAGAAAAGCAAATATTCTGGTGGTGATTCTAGAGGCTGGATTCTATGCATATGAATTCATGACAATAAATGGAAATGCTCTCCTAAGGCATTCAGGCACACAGCTTATGAAAATCAGTAAGAATCAAGTCCAGCTAGTCTGAGGGTTGAAGCAGCAAGAAGGTAACAGTTTCCATTTTTGTTCCAAGAATGCAAAAAGTACACAAAATGGGCCTGCTGTAGTTTTTCCAGATACATTCTGTGGAGGATGGCATATGCTATATAATAGGCTAATCAATAAGTATTGCTGCCAAGTAATAAACAGCAATCTGAGACAAGGAATAGGACACAAAAAAACAAACTTGTCTTTTACTTAATGGTCTAGACATCTTTTAGGAAGAAAGTGTTTTTTTAAATGCAGCTCTGCTCAAGATTGTAAAGAAAAGGTGAAACAACTGGTGAGGTGAATGGAGCTATCGAACAAGTGCTGGGAAGTACAGTTACCATAGCTCAGGTGATGAACATTAAGTTGTCACATGATAGCAACTTTATCATGTTTGGCCCCCAAATTGGATACAGTATCTCAGGAGGGTATTTTTTAAAAAATTAAATATAATCAGATAATATAACATATTATGCCCATATATGGAGTGAAAATATTAATACTTGTCTAGAGTATTATAAATTGTGCACACCACATTAACAGTCAAAATATTTGGGGGATAACAGAGGATCAAACAGAACACTTTCTTCACCCAGGGGTGATTCCCATGGCAGGCAGAGGAGCCTGTGTCAAGAGGCACAGCTCAGCTGACACACACACTGCCGTGGAAAGCTCATGAGCTGTGGTCCTCCAGCTTTCTTCATATCTGTTTGTGACCAGTTTGCCTTGCCATGGAACTGCTCCTGTATGTATACCCCTGCCACCACCACAGAAAGACACAAACTCTCTCTCAGCTGGGACTCCTCAATATAGCCATGGTTTTATGTGAGGATCAACATCCAAGTTTAAGCAATAGCAAGTTCTAGACTAATTCATTAAAGATCCAACTTCACAGCACAAAACTAGGTAACATGTATTTTATCAAATTCTACACTTGATGTTTGATGTGTGTTGGTATTTCACTGAAATTACCCAATTTTTCCTAGTTCAACATGTTTGTACAGTGGATATTCTACTTTACAAACATTTATAAAAAGACAAATGAATGGACATGACAGTTATGCATATCATTCATGAACCAAAACTACTACAACTTTATAGCAAAAATTAAATTATGCAGTTAATATTCTGTAGCTAGTTACAGCAATAGAGCTGTTTATCATAAATCTTAGATTATTCTTCCTTACATATGTTTAAGAAACTGTTTTACCAAAATTTGAAGAAACAGATGAATAGAAAATGTCACACTAGGGGTATGAAAAAGTAAACAAAAGCATTTATGTAAGAGAAACAAGACAGAATACTTCACTGACTCTCATCCAGGTGCCTACAAAAACCCACACTCTGTACATCTTTACATCTTCTGTAAAAAGCAGTCTGGTGTACTTACGTAAAACAAGAGCCATCTTATTCTATAGTGAAAAGACAAAGGAGGAGGAAAGTATACCAGGGTAGTAACTACCCTATTATTCAATCATCAAACATTCGAACACCAAGATACCGTAAACTATGTGGAATTAACTAATATTTAAGTACAGACATTCTTAAATCTGCACTATGGGTGGAGTTGTTGTTGACCAGTTTAATTCCCGTATCCAAACCCACACAGCTCCTATTTCGGATTTTACTTCCAACCCTGAATGCAGTATTCCCACCTCTTGACACAGGGTACATCACAGGTATCTAAGAATCAGAACATTGCACATCTATCAGAGATCACCCACATGGCCTTCCTACTGCTGGCACAACACAGCAAATGCAGACTTAACATACTAGGTGCATGCTATATTTCTTCGTTAAACATACGTAATATAACTCACTGATATATTTTAATCCACATCATCCCCTATCTGCAGGTTTACATAGAACCTTATGTACCCCGTGCTAACCTAGCCAGAAGTCTCATCAGACTGGCTTATAATACAGCATGTGTTGCGGGTATGCTAATTGTGAACAACCTGAAATAAGCTGGACAATCTCCCCAAACCTGAAAGAAGGTAGTAGCCTTTTAATCCTTTCCCAGATTAATAAAAGGTAATTAATACTTTCTAAAATGTGAGCTTAAACCCATTAAAACCATGAGATATTTTCCAGTAAGACTTTTTTAAGGTACAACAGGCTACAGTTGGTTGTAAATACCGTGTGTTCAAAGGCAGATCCTCAAAAATACCTGGAGATTTTAATTAAATGTTCCAGACAGACTTAAAACTCAAGTGACAACAGTTTTTATCTCTAGATAGTATTCTGCATTAAAGCAGAAGCAATCTTGTTTTTACTGCTGTTTTAATCCATGCAGAACAGAAGTAATGTTAGATGACCCCTCCTTTCTGACATTCATGCTTACATTATGCAACTGTCAGGTAAGAACACACCTGAGAAGTATTCTGCACTGCAAGTAGTATCAACAGGATGGGGTCCTTTCCATTTCTGAAATTCTGCTGGTTCATTTTTTATATTTTTAAGTCCCCCGAATCACTTTGCAGCTCTTCCCTGCTATTTCTGACAGTGCAGGTAATTAATTTCCAAAATCTACTAAATTGATAAAGTGTAAAATACTTCAGCTGGGTCACCTGTCTTTTTTAGCATCACTAGAAGGTGACTAAAGTAGTGGTCTTAAGAATTTATGTATGTAAAAATATTTGAACTGGATTCCAAAAGCAAATTCTTAAAACTAGTGTTAAACAAGCTGGATTATTATATCAGTACAATAAGACCATGGGAAAAAAATGGTTTCTCTAAACAAGTTAAACCTTCAGAATGAGAACTGTTAGAAACAAAAATTCCTTAAAAATTAACTGAAACATTTGAAAGATTTTGTCTGCTTGTCTAAACCGAGGACTCTGTGTGGGACTTCATAATGCGGTTTCTTCAGACCCCTTTTTCTCCACAGATTACTTTTAACTGTCTCCCACCTCCTAACCACATATAAGCTTCACTTTCCAAATACATTACATCCCTGGTTTATTATTCTGTCCCATCTGATTTTTTCAGGAGAAAAGGAAAAGGGATCAAAATGGAAAAGCCAAAAAGAGTAATCTTTTTGTTTGTTTGTTTTCAGAAGAAAGTTTGAAAAGTATTTCACCATCATGCAGTTTCATTTCAGTTTTTGACAATCTTGCTTTTTGCAACAGAGGTTGGCTGTTATGCAGAAGAAGTTTATCTACATTTATTACTTTATGTTCCTTTTTTTTTTTTTTTCTTGTTAGGTCTACTGAGCTTCCTGGAACAACAGAGGTTACAGAAATGGACACTTCCACAGCTTCTCAGACCAACATTTCCAACTGTGACTTATACGAGCACAAAGATACAGCACGGATACTACTGTCTGTCTTCTACAGCTGCATCTTAATTCTTGGGGTGCTTGGAAACGCCATTGCCCTCACTGTCATTTTTAAACACAGAAAGAAGATGAACTCCACTACCCTTTATTCAACAAACCTCGTCTTCTCCGATCTCCTGTTCTGTATCGCCCTGCCTACAAGGATAGCGTACTATGCCCTGGGATTTGACTGGCCCTTTGGAGAAGCACTGTGTCGAATAACTGCTCTCTTGTTCTATATCAACACCTATGCAGGTGTAAACTTCATGACGTGTCTGAGCATTGATAGGTTCTTCGCTGTTGTCCACCCCTTCCGATACAAGATCAGAAGGATTAAATATGCCAAGGGCATTTGTGTCTTTGTCTGGTTTCTTGTATTTAGTCAGACTTTCCCATTACTTATCCAATCCATGTCACAGGAAGAAAAAGAAAGGACTACATGTATGGAATATCCAAACTTTGAAAAAATAGCACACCTACCCTTTATACTTCTTGCTGCCTGTTTCATAGGGTACCTTATTCCCCTGGGGATTATACTCTTTTGTTACTCTCAAATTAGCTGCAAACTCTTTCAAACAGCTAAGGAAAACCCACTGACTGAAAAATCAGGGATAAACAAAAAAGCCATCAATACAATCATATTTGTAATTATAGTGTTCATCATTTGCTTTACTCCTTATCATGTTGCAATCATACAACACATGATTAAGAAGCTTCAGAATGAGCCCTTGTGCAATGAAAAGAAAATTTTCCAGAAGTCACTCCATTATACTGTATTTCTGATGAACTTTAACTGCTGCCTAGATCCTTTCATCTATTTCTTTGCCTGCAAAGGGTACAAGAGAACTGTAATGAAAATACTGAGACGACAAGTGAGTGTATCCATTTCAAGCGCTGTCAGGTCACATCATGAAGAAAGCTCACGTGACGTTGGAGAAACACAAATGATGATACTTGCAAAGCCTCCCAATGGAAAGCTACCTGAAAAATAGTCTGTGCTATGCCACAGTGAACTAAGCTTAAAAATCTGGGGTCCTCAGTAAAAACTCTTAGTGTCCCCCATACAGCAGCTTAAGGAAGGTTCTGTTCCTCAGGATGTCAGGAAATCACAGAGTGATGTTGGACTGAAAAAGAATTGTCACAGAACAGCAGGAAAGACTATTATACTTTCCTAGTTGTATCATTTTGACTGTTCTCATTATTTTTTCCAGGAAATATGCACCATTGTGAATGTTCAAATTCCATACTGCACATACATACACCTGGATGTTGCTAAGCAAAGATTTGATTCACAGTTTAACTGAGTGTGTAAGAAAGGATTAAACAAAAGAATAGCTTACAATTCAGACAGACTACAACCAGAACATCTGAAAATTGTGAGACCTCTAGCTGAGTTCCAATTACAGCAATGGTTTTGTTAGCCAAGTCACACAAGCAAAGGAATCAAACTTTCAGATAAAATGGAGAATTTATACGAACGTTGGACTGTCACAAGTGCTTAGCTTACAGCACTGTGGAGGTTAAACTGCATTTTAGAGTACTTTGAGCACAAATGTCTTACTGGACAACACACGTAGATAATATTGTCAAATGTAGTAGATGGGAATTTAATGAACTGTTTGGTTCTCACCAACACTGAATATCTCCCATATACTAAATCACTCGCCTTTGCAAGGTATATTATCTCTTTACTCCATTCCCTAAAGGAGAACTTTTCTTTCTAGTGTGTATTGTAAAGAGTCTCTGCTCTAGTTGTATATAAATTATTTATAAACACAAAAAATATGTTGAAGCAAGAGTCTGCAATTTTAAAACTTAACCACCATGTCAGTTAAAAGAGTAGTGATACCGGGTTCTTCTGGACTTCTGCTTAAGTCAAACATGGGGACAAGACAAATCTTTTACAAACAGAAATAAATGTTCACAGTTGGTCACAAAAAAGTGAATTAATGGGTTCATTCTGATGGTGTGAGATGGCCACCTCTTTTTAAGCACTGTTTACCTGATAGATCAATAAATGAGAATAGCAGGACTGGCTGGGAAAGAACAAGCTTTGCCATCACGCCTTCATACAGCTTATCTATGATCCCTTTGGGCACCCTGAAATAGGGCCAGCAATGAGACCAAATGACTTAAACACATCCTGCTGGAATTAGCTCAGTAGTAGTTGAGTGTCCAGGATGCAAGCCCTGGGTTCCTGCTATCGTGCCCTTCCGTCATGTGTCAGTTTCCTTCCCTACTTTATTCCTGGCCCCTCTGTCTTTTCTTTTGTCTTCTAGCTCATGAATATGTCTTCACCTGCCAACACAACTTGGTAATTGCACCATGAAGTTGTGATGGAAAAGGAAAAATACAGAATGCCTGATAATTACGGGTAAAAGCTATGCCAGATGTCAGAATAAATGTTATTTATTGCAGCTGTATCTCCCTGGCATTGAGGTTGTACTGGAAGTCAAATAAACACAGTTACATTTGTCATCTTTGCAACTCCTTCCTTCCTTCCTTCCTCACATGTTGACCTCTGCCTACCTGCAAACATGGAAGGGTCATATCTGAACAGTAGTACAGAAATACTAAATTAACCATTGCTTTCTTATGGAAAAGAAAATGCAGAAGACCCTGTATTTCATATCACTTAAGATTGTCAAAATTGAGTTTCTAACTACAAAAGACACTATACAGCTACAGGAAAATGGAGTAAGAAGTTCTACTTAATTCTGTATGCTATAGCAGTTTTGTTCTTGTCAGCTTTTTAAATAAACTATTTTAAAGTATTATTTAAGAATGTATTCCTGTTGGAGTAAGCAAATGACAACCTGATAAAACAGACAGACCCCTCATGAATACCTAGATGATGTAGAAATAAAATGTATGTATTATTAACATCACATCAGTACAAACTCATTCTATTCTACTAATGTCTGGGAGTTTTTATTTTGATACATGTTTCATCTAACCGTGACAACAAAACCTTAAAAACAGTAAGTCTTTTAAATATTTATCTGCAAAATATAACTCAAACATATATTACAGCACCACATAATGCAGATACCTATTCTATTCTATGTGAAAAATAATTAAAGATCTGTATTGAAAATCTTCCTCTATACCTATTTTCTCGTGTTAGCCATTCTGTTGTTTTCAAATTTAGACTTTGTAAATCAAATCAACATTCTCAGACATCTAATTTACATCAAAATACTACTTTTGCTCTAATAAGCCATAGAGTTTTGGCCCAATTAGATACAGGTTTGAGAAAAGCTTTTTTTTTCCTCCTTATTTCAATATTTCCCAAACACCAAAGAAACCAATTAAACAAAAATCTTTAAAAGCTAAGATAAGCTCACCTTCCTGACAAGAGTCCTAAAGGCACAGACACACAGAGAGGTAGTGACAATACGACAATATAGAGCTGTGGCAGCTGATGTCACTGCTTCCCCTCACTACTTGTCAGCACACACTCCTAGCTCATGCACACTCCTATCAAAGAGGAGACCCTTTTCTGTGTACTTATCTGAAACTGCCAAAAGCAGTGGCAGTGGTTCCAGTTGGCGTGGGACACCGCATTGAAGTTGTTTAGAGAGCATCTGTTTTATTTCATTTACTAGCTGTTCTGTGGGGCTGGTATCCATCACCAAAGAGATGGCTACAAGCTGCTGCATGGGAACAAGGGAGAGCAGTAATCCTGAAAACTTACAGCTGCTCTCAAATGACTGGTTTTCTTTGAAATGCCATTATACATTTATCCTGCTGATACTGTTCCCCCAGTACTGTGCGTTGGAGTATTTTTATGATAGCAGTTACCTGTAGTGGGACACCTCAGGTCCCCCTCCTCCTGCATGCCACACAGACACAAATCCAAGGTGCAAAGCCATACTTTTTCCTCTCTTGTGTCTGTCTCTCTTCTTCTCTAACACCGAATATATACCAGACATGTCTGTCTTAAAAGACATGACCATGCCACACTATGCAACATGTGGCTAAAGCAGGATGAGCTTTGAAAAGAAAATGAGCTTTTGCTTTGGCAAACTTCTGACACATTCTAGGAAATGCCCTCTTCTACATGAAAGGTTGGGAAATGGACATACAGATTTGGAATTCACCCACCCTTTTCACAAATAAATAAAGAAGCTCCCAATTAGCAGGAGGTTCAAATAGCTTGCTCATTATGAGTATCTGACTGAAGTTCTTCAGAGAAACTGGGTCTCTATTTGGAGGGTAAGGTCCAACCAGGATCTTAAAACCTGTGTTCATGACAAAATGATAGAATAACTTTAAACTCTACACTTCGGGGTGTAGAGCTAGGCCAGCTGCTAAGAGGACACCAACTAGATTACATGTCAACTGCTGACATCTCTCTCAAATCTTATCTGGTAGGGAATGAGAGAGAGCATATAGAAATAAAAATAATGGTGGGAGTACATTTTGGCAGTTTCTGTTCAAGACCAGAAGAGAAAGTTGTATAGGCACTGGTTGTTGAATACATAATCAAGTGAAGGTGCATCATCCCAAAGCAGACATGCATTTTCGGCACAAGACCATTTTGTGCCTTCACCTTCCCTTTTGCTGAGAATGCAAAACTAAGGACTACTACTGCAAGCATTCAGACAGGTTCCTTTAGCCACCTTCGGCTCAAAGATACTGAAGTCTAACTTGAAGGTGTGGAGTTAAAAGTCTTCTGTGGCTCACATTCCAGCAGACGGGGACAGGTATTCCCCAAGGCATTATTGCCTGACTCTTTTGGCTGTGGCCCTGAAAACTGGGCAGATTGAGGAACCTGTAAGCAACATGGTCATCTCCTAGCAAAACACATTAACAGCAACTGTCCAGAGTGGTAAACATGCTACCATAAATGACAGGAGGCCTGGATATGGTTAATTACTACTTTTAAACCAGCAAGCTCATTAGTATAAAGAAAGAAAAAATGGAGGGGTTTATGTTTTCTTTTGTTTTTTTTAAACAGATACTGCATTAAAGCCTAAGATTGTTCTGAAATTCAAAAGCATTCAGGGAAGCAAGGAATGAATAGACTCCAAGAAAATGATGGGACAGCCTGCAATGTAAGAAAAAAAAAGAGTGCAGCTGAAGAGAAGCTTTGTTTTACACAATCAGTTTTGGAGGAACTGAAAAATACCTATGTGCTCTGTATCTTCTATCTCCATATCTGTGATAGAGAAGGGGAAGAACTCAAGACAAACCAATGTTTGTATCTTAGCAGCATCTCACTGTGCTGGCTCAATACAAACAAGGTTACTGGACACCAAGAATCACTAGCAAAACACCAAATTCTCATGAGTGAAGTATTTCCTAAAACTGTCTTGGCTAGGCTGCAGCCCACGGACTAAGACTATGGTACAAAATGAACTCAGGCTGCAAACTTTTCCTGAGGAGAAATAGGAGAATTGTTGTTTGTGTAGTAAATGCTCAGACATGCTTCCTTATTATTTTTTCCCCTCACAATATTCTCTCGGCTTCCTGCAATGACTAAGTTCAGATTTCCTGACGCAGATGTTTCATCTTTGCGTATGATAGTCCTCACTCAGTTTTTCTTCAATCAGTCTGTCTGGTCCCCTTCTGAACTCAAATAAAATATCTGTGCCTGCAGTACCTTACAGCAAGAAGTACCACAGCCTGACTACCCATGGTGTCTGGAGCTATGTTCTTTTGTTTGTGACATCTGCTAGTTTCATTACAAGTCCTCTGTTTCTTGTATTAGAAAACAGTGAACACAGCAACTCCTCATTTACCCTGTCCACATTACTCATGGTTATACAGACCTGCATCAAATCCCCTGCCTTCAAGTCATCTACTCTCTTTTCCAACGAACAGGAAGATCAAAGCTCTTCAACACTTCATCCAAATTGTAGAGGAAGGATAGAAGGTAAATGTGAAGAAAGAATGGAAATCCAACTGTGTTCAAGCTGGATGGCAGAAGTGAACAGGGCATCTCTACTCACAGCGAGATGAACTGCATACTGATCCTACTAGATAA